ACTCAAGTTCAGCGCCTTGATGTATGCACATGCAAGAACATATTTTTTCAACTTCATGCTTATCATTTCACCAAAGTATTCCATATGAGTTTTTCATAATTTTATTTATTTATGCTTTTAGGCATTGGAGCTTTTCAGGAAACATAAGGTGGATTATTTGATAACAACAAAGCTTGCGTCTCGTGTAAGATTTTGTTCATATCCATCAACCATCTAATCCTTTCTCTTTACATGGCGTTTTTCTGTTTGATCTGTGTCCAACATTTTTGTTCTCTGATTCATGGAAGATAAACCAGTATGTGAATGGTAGATATTTTCAACTCATTGTGTCGATCATCCATTTTCTTTGTTTCATTTGTTTTTTTTTACATTTCAGGGACTTGACATTATTGGTGTTCGAACTGTTATCAATTATGCATGTCCGGATACTTTCACGAGGTAATAAAATAATTTTCTTGCATCATCATGCATCAAATGGATTTTCGATATATCTTATGCTTACATATCTATTTTCCTTACTAATATTATTTACTCAGTTGATCAGTTCATGGCTTTTAAATTATTGTATTTATGTATGATCTTTAATAATTTTCCAAGAATTCTTTCCTCAAGGACTATTCATAAAGTCATTTTGGCTTATTAATGCACAGATTCTTCCAGAATTGTTTTTCCGCATGGACTATTTTTTCATCTTTCTCTCCCCCCCCCCCACACACACCTAAGAGTATTATATTCTCTATTTCTGAAGGCCATAATTATTGATTTTATTGATCTAATCTCTTTTTTAATGATTTAATCTCTACTAAATAGTGCACATGCACTTCTACGTCATTAGTAAAACCAGATTATCTTAGAATGTTTGACATAAGATCCTAGCCACACCCACCTTGCCACTCACAGTCACCGTTTGTTCCTTTAAATTTCTTTTGTTAAACTAGTTACATACATCAAGTGGGGCGTACAGCTAGAGCTGGTAAAGAAGGCTATGCTGTTACATTTGTCACTGATAAACATCGCTCACTTCTGAGAACCATTGTGAGTACTGCATTGCCCTTCTATTAGAGTTGCAAATCATGTATTGATGGCCATTTGGTTCAATAACTGCCAGAGAGCTTGAACCCCAACTCAATAGTTGTTATTAGAAACATTTGCAATAAGCACCTATAAACTTACTATTGCAATAATGGACAGGCTAAACGTGCTGGTTCTTGCATGAAGAATCGAGTTGTTTCTGAGAAATCAATAATTAAATGGGCTAAAATAATAGAGCAAATGGAAGAGCAAGTTGCAGAAATACTTCAGGAAGAGAGGTTCAATTGTTTTATTTAATCCCGCAACCAATGATAGTGCATGTAGGGTTTCAAGTTTGATTGGTTATTTGGATATTGCAGGGAAGAAATGGCTATGAGGAAAGCAGAAATGGAAGCAACAAAGGTTTGGCTATATGATAATCCTTAGGTTGATACCAAGAATGATGATGATGAGAATGACAATGAGGGCTTCATTGACCTTTGAGTTTATTTGCTTGGAATCTTTGAAAATAAAAGACTGAGCATTTGTTGCTGCTAGTTTTGTTGTGTTGTTGACGGCTCGACTTAACATTAGTCATTTTCATGTGTTTTTTTATCATTCAATTATACTCCCTCCATCCCAAAACAAACTTCACAGTTTGACTTTCACAATCTTTGGCCATTGCTTAATTTATAGTAATTTAGTATTAGTATATCACAAGTATATATCATGAGTATTTCAAGAATTTAGTATCACAAGTATATATCATGAGTAATTTAGGAGAATAACATGATACTCATATTTTGGATTACATATTGTTTTTACTCCTATTTAGGGTAATTTCTTTAGAGAAGAACAGGTGAATAAAGTAGGAAAGAGAAGATGAAAATTGAAAAAACAGGAAGGAAGATGTGTAAGAACAAGGTAAAAGTTTTGAAATATGAAAACGGGTCAAAATAATGAAACTGTTCCCAAGAAGGAATATATGCCAACTATTGGTGAATGTAAGTATTTTATTTAGGACTTGTATATTTGTGGTTACCACCTTACGTAAATGGACTGTGCTTTTTATAAGTATGGTTTGGTTCACCTTAGCAATCATACATGTTTGATGTTTTTATTGTAGTAGGAAATAACCAGCTTCTGATGGATATTTGATATAAGTTTCATAAAACAACAAAAGAAAAGATCTGCAGTGTAACATTGAGCATTATTTGTCTACTTCATGAATTTCCAGGCAGAAAATATGATTGCACATAAGAATGAGATTTTTTCTCGCCCTAAAAGAACATGGTTTATGACAGAGAAGGAGAAGAGGCAAGTGGCCAAGGCAGCTAAGGTGATTATACTTTCCCTTTTACTTAAATACATCCATCTTAAAAAGCTCCTCTTTGACCAATGTTGAATTATTTAAATTTGGTAAGGTACAATTGCCACATCTCATAATAAATTCAAAAACTTATTTGTTCACTTATTGAGGTTCATATGCAAATTTTTATACGGAGTATTAGTTTTCTTGTTTTGTTGACAAGTTGCATGAAAATGTCTTTTTCGGGGGCCAGAGTACCTTGTAATGATTTCATGTATGTTTTTACCTTTAAAAAACATATTTAACAGTGGACATATGAGGCCAAAACCTGTTACAGTAATATACTAATGTAAATATACACATTTTAAATATACGTGGATTTTTTTCAACCAGAACTCTATGGAGAATGAGAAGGATTGTGCAAACAAGGTAGTAAGTGCTGAACAAGCAGAAGATCTCAGGATGAAGGAAAAGAGAAAAAGAGAACATGAGGTGTGCTCTTTTTGTCTGGCATTTATGTTGATTTATTGATGGTGTTCATCAACTATATGTGAGTCCTGTTAATGATAATAATTATTAATATGCATGATAGAAACATCTGCCTAGAAAGAAGAGGAGGAAGTTGGAAGCGGCTCGAGAACAATTAGAAGATGAGAATTCTTCAGACGATGTATGCATGCACCTCTTTTTATAAGTTTCAATTTTGTTGATGAGTTTATGACAATTTCATTATGTGCATGTGGTTTGTACATCTCAATCTTGTAGAGAGCATGTCTATAATGAACTATCTCAACTCATTGACACCTCATGATATTTTCCATGCAAGTTGAGAAAAACAGTGTCGGCTGTTATGGAGTTCGATTCCGCCAGACTATATTCTATTTCATTCATTCTCCATTTAAAACCGTCTACTCTGGGAACCCATAATCTGACGATTCTTTCATATGATTTTTTTCGTGAATTCGACATCCGACCATCCGTCCTTGAATTGTGTCACAGGATGGGTGTTTGGTGTTAAATGTTGCCTCTGATTTGTTTGCATTAATTGACACTAATAGGTTTTAAGATCAGTTAACAGGCGTTCAGCAATAGTATTACGGCTAATGTCAATGGCATGCATTTTGTCTAGCTTGTACCAATTTGTTCCGGTTACATCTGGGTGATAAAGTATTAGTTTAGAGATTGCATTAGCCTTTCCTTTGTTCGTAAGATGTTGGAGTGCATCAATATAAAGCAGTGAGATAATAGTAATGTGGATTTCTGTTGCAGAGAAATGACAAAACAAAGAAAGGTAAGAAGGGTGAAATAAAGCTCATTGATATTGCGTATCGTCGGGCAAAGGCAGTGAAGGCTGCAAAGAAGGCAGCTGATGCTGGAAAGGTCATAAGAAAGGCAGGGAAAAACAGAAAACGAACTGCCCAAGTAACTCAATCAAGGACTGAGGAGATGCGAGAACTTTTCAAAGGTGATATGAGTGAGGATAAAAAGAATAAACCCCGTTCTGCTGCTGGAAAAAAGAAATCCTCATTCAAAAGCAAGTCAAGGTATGACACAACTCGCACTCCGTCCCATGATGTGTTTATATTTTAGTATGGTAGTGAAGTTTTTTCACCAGGCAGATTTTTATCATCCCAATATATTTCCATGTTGTCTCCTTGCACTCCACCCCTAAGAGTAACTAGGACCAATTAGGTGTTGTTGGATTTATTTAAAGATGAAGAATCAATAAAAAATTGAAGAATTACTTGTAAGAAAGTAGACAGAACTTTCTGGAATGATACAAGAAAAGTGAGGAAAACATTTTGGGGCAGAGGGAATTGGTATTGATTTCTTGTCATCTTTTTGTTATATGTTTTTGTATTTTTATAATGAGATCAATAATTGGAATCTGCCACCAATACTAAATGCTTAGGGCAATAGTATTACTTTACCATTACTTGGTCAGTAGACTGGGCTTGGCTTTCAATTGCTGTGCTTTTCACCTTTTCTTACTGCTTACTATCCAGATTGTTTATGGAAACCTAACTGTTTATTTGTTAAAATTGTACTATCTGCAGGTATAAGCGAAGGTAACAGCTCGTTGGGTAGAAATGATATTTTAATTTGACGGTAGAAAGGCTTATTTGACACCGTGAGGCAAAGTTGTTCAAAAGTGGACACTTGAAGAAACTATTTGGAATTCATCCATTAACACACACACACACGTGTCCCTCTGTGTGTGTGTGTGTGTGTGTCTGTTGTACCATCAGGTCCTTCAGATACAGTTTTCCATTCTAAATAGTTTTCCATTAAGATTTAGTTCCTAAAATGTATCTCATTACACAACTTTTATTTGCTACCTTATTGAGTTATCGGTTTATGAAATATATGCACTTTTTGTAAATGTGTCCTTGTATTCCTCATAATCATGCAGATTTTTGGTTGACATTCAACACTTTTTTTTATGTTTCCAGCTCTTTTTCATCTTTTCGTGAATCATAATCCATGGGCAAGGAAAGTTAGTCCTAATGCTATTGAAAAGTATATGGAGTGTTTATTACAGTCACATGTTATCAGTTTTTGTCGTCGTTGGGTACTTGGGTACTAATTACTAAAGACAACTTTAGTTAGATATGAATCTATGATTCGCCATTTTGGCCACAGGTCCACAACAATTACTATGGACAGAAATGAGCCTGAATAAGAAGAAAACATGAACCCAAATTGTTTTGAGAGGAAATGGCCAATCTGTTTAAAAGACATAATGATTGTAATCGATAGTAACAGCTCACAATTTGGCAGGAGGAAAAAAATGTTTAACAGAAATAACTTTTACTCCGCATTATTCAATGCCCTATAACCCCTATTTAAGTATGAAAGTTACAACTTTTATAACTTCCTCCAACAGCTGTATGCATGTATCAGTATACGAAGGCTGCTGTCCTATCTTCTTCATTAATCATCTATGGCTATAACGATCAGAAAACTGATTGCCTCTGTCAAATAAATGATTAATATACTCTTACAATCGATCCAAAAAGCCACCAAAAAAGTTCTATTTCAATGGCGATTGAAAAAGTTACAAGGGTAGGGCTCCCACCCACCCTCAGGCTCTCTCCGTTTCTCACCAACAGTCAAACTTGTTGATGGTTGTGAGATGGGCTGAAGAAGAGGGTCCAAATATTGCCGGTTCAATTCTCTGGCATCAGGAGGTGGTGGTGGTGAAATCATCAAGCCACTGTCGTTCAGATCAAAACCACTTTGTGGTGTCATTATCGGTTGCCCATACGGTTGCAGTTGAGGGAAAACAGGAGTCATATACGAAGTGGGTCCCACCATGCGAGGTGTAACTGGGACTTTTCTAAAATCAACCATGCAGGGAACAGGTCCCACCGATCCATAAGCATGTCCAGGTGCTGTTATACGGTTGTAATTATTTTTATAACCTGTGGCCGGGCGAGGGTATGCAAACAGGGATTCCATCCCCTCAGCACTATTATGAACAGGGCCCAAGGGCATTATTGGAAGTCCTGGTACAAGAGACTCTTTTTTGTTCAAGTCAACTTTCATTCCCATGATGGACACGGCATGTAGAGAAGGGTTGGTGAAATTGGACAAGTGATTTGAGGAATAATCATGAAGAAACCCCCGATTGTCGTTTAGGTCAATGTTAAGAAATGAGGATGAGGAAGATGGACGAGATTGACTTTGGTGGGGACTGTTTGGATATTTAGATAGCAGTCGTCTCTCCATCCCCATCCAATCAGTTGGATGAGCTTCTTCGGTTACACAGTTAAGATCAACATCAACCCCCCTTGGAGGCATTTTGGAAACACTCGCTGCTTCATCCACAGAAGAAGACTCCTCCCCAGCAGCAGCCATGTTATTATCTTCTTCATCTCTGGTGTTCAAATCCAGACATCTCTTAGCTTCTCCTCCAACAGCAGCATCTTCATCACACATATTTAGATCAATATCAAGACGGCAGTTGCTATGTTGCTGCTCCGCTGTATCTTTTTCTGTGAACACTTCTTGATTTAAATCAAAATCACACGAACCCTTCACACCAATAGTTACCAGAGAAGAATCCACCAAGTCTTGTGTTTTATCGACTGCTGAAATATTTACATGCCCCCCACCAACAGCCCGGGAAGCATCATTATCGCAAATAGGAGGACATATTATTAGCTTTTGTGCCTCCTCCCCCTTGTTTGAGGGGGAATCGGTTGTAGTAGTAGTACTAGTTTCACAGTGTTTTTCACTCTCAGAATCTGATGTTGAGGGGGAAGCATCATTATCGCAAATAGGAGGACATATTATTAGCTTTTGTGCCTCCTCCCCCTTGTTTGAGGGGGAATCGGTTGTAGTAGTAGTACTAGTTTCACAGTGTTTTTCACTCTCAGAATCTGATGTTGGGATGCTATTGGTGGGCTCCTCATGGTGAACTGTGGCTGTCTTTTTCACAGAGCTGTGCTCAAACTCTCTCCCCACTTCCATGGCAACTTGCAGAGCTACCTCTAGTGGATCCATGATGCTGCAGCAGCCCAAATCATGATCATTAGATTTTTTGATACCAATCATATCAGCAGCATCTTTATTCCCCATGTAAAATTGTCCAAATGGAAGATCACCATCACTTTCATCACCACTATGATCTTCCTCATCAGACTCCTCCCTTCCAAAATTGCTTCTTTTTGAACTTTCATTAGCTTCAATCACCAAAGGCGTTGTGCTTCTGCAATGATTTCCATATTCACTTTCTTTACCCATTGCATCCTTTGTTTCATCATCTGATGAGAAAACTGTGTCATCTAATGTCTCTGAACTGCCTGTTTTCTGTTTACCCTTCAAACAATCATTAGAATTGTTTTTACCCTGTTCATTCAGAGGGCCATGTTCTGGATGCATCAACTTAGTGCTTTCTTCCTCATTACGAAGATCGCCATTTTGCATTGTCGGTGAAGGAGAGTTCACATAAGTGGATGGCCCATTTTGCATTATTTTATACTCTAAAGATTTATCAGATGCTTCTTCGGATCTCAAAGAAGGAAGAAGATTGTCTCTATCATGTTCATTGCACCCTTCGTCTGAATGGCGAACAACCCCACATGAAGATTCTGACAAACCCTTTTCTTCTAGATTTACAAGTTCAACATCCATGGAAACAGAAACTGTACCTTGCTTCCATTTATCAATGAGAGCTTTTGCCATCTCTTGCACCTTTGAACTCTTGTGACCAAGGAGCTTCTCAACAGATATTCTGATTCCAGAAGAAGCTGATTCCCCGTTGCACACATGCACCAACTTCTCTACTGCCCGAAGTGAATCAGTGATCGACTCTTCTATTGTGAAACTAATATTATTATTATTATCATCATCATCATCATCAATTGAGTCATTAGAAAACTTCTGAGCGTCCTTCAGCCAACTGTCAATAAAATTCAGACCATCTAAGTGAATAAAAAGTTGAAGACAATCTTCATTATTAGTTGCAGCTATGGTGCATGCAACAGCAGACCACTGTTTAGTGGCATCAGCTATACTCCGATTGGCATCACCATCTTTTTCCTTTTGTATAATAGCAATGAGCTCCTTGACCCGAATAGGAGTCTCAAGCCCATTATTAATTTCGGCCAACGCAAATAAGTCCTCAAGTGTCTTCATAATATAGAATATTTATGACCTCATATGCTTAGCCTGCAGAATAAAACCAAGAATTAACGCACTGCAATACTGAAGCCAAAATATAACTATCAAAAGTGAATAATTTTGAGTATGCAAATGAAAATAACAAAAGATGCCCAACCCCAGGAAAAAAAGGAAGAAAAAGAAAGCTTGACTCTTACTTCTACCAGAAAGTTGAAGTGCTGTTTAATACGGAGTAGTTCTTAGTGCACAAGTGTTCGTGTACGACTTACGCAGGTCAGTAATGATCAACTCAAAGTGTGATGGCCTTTATGTTCTATATTTAATGGTTAAGGCAGCCAAATGCTTCCAAAGGATTTCAAATATAAATGTGATTTCTTCCTCATTTTGTATTAGTTTTAAATCAATCAAAACCTCATTTAGTAGGGAAAAATAACTTGAAGCTAGTTGGATACAGAGAGGTGCGTGTTATTCACTACTAGTTCCATTTATGTCACAAGCAATTACACCAATAAATTTGAACCCCAAACAGTAGGTACATTACACATTTATTTGACATTAGAGTACCACTATAACTGTGTAAGTATGCATTCTAATGGTAAAATATATATGGCATAAATTGTTGGAAATGCATGCACCAAATGGTCCAGAGTCTGACTTACTAATGATGTTAACATCGAACGATTAAAAACACAACACCCAATATGGGTGTTATTGAGTCATATCAATCTAGTGGCGAATTGCAATATCATGTTTTAATATATCAACATTTCAATTCTTGAAGAGGATGGTGGTTCCCCGTACAAAATTAAGGCTTTTTAAACTTGTCCTGGAATTTATATTTTGGTACAAAGTCTAATAGTTGCAAGTGTTGTCTCCATACTTCATATGTATCCGTGAGAACAGCCTTTGGAGAAACTCTTACTGTATAGTCAAGAGCAGGATTCAACACAAATAAGTACTTATGTTCTTACACCTTCCCCACCCCTCAACAAAAGTATTATACATTGAATGGGCATTAAGCAGCAGAGGTTTTACAAATTTAACCATATAAAGATTAATAGTAATGTTAAAAACTTCTACTTGCATATGGTTGACTCGCACATGGTGATTGCATTCTTCTCACTAGCTAAGAAAGTAATGGGGAGGTCTAAAATGAATAATAGCCTTTCTTCAACCATAACTTCATTAGAGAATAAAAAAGTACGAACTCTGAAGAGATCCATATTTCCATATCCAGCAGAGGGAAAAAAAATCATTTGCAAAAGGAAAATCTGTAGAGCAACGTCACCTTCTTGTTCAGCACAAAGTACTACTGGTACAAAAAAACAATCGAGCGATTAAAAACTTAAAATAGGTTTGTACGAAATAAGCCATATCACAATTACCCAATCGGCAGATAGACCCAAACCTGAGGAAAATGAAGAAGAAAAATCATTTTTTAAGAAAGTAAATCATTGAAAGAGGACAGTAGGATACATAATTAATAACTGGGTGGACGAATGGGGTAAATATTTAAACCATGACTCCATCTTGAAAATAACTGCACCAATTAAAATACCAAAAAAAAGGAGAGAGCGAACTTATTAGTTTGTGATTTAAAAAAGAAAATGAAAACAACTCGAAAGAAACAAAATTCATTCATTTCATCGTAACAGCAGGGAGCAAGTGACACCTCAAGAGAGTGCAATATTACTATCAAAGCCTAAAACATCAGATAATCATTCGATGAACTTAAATCTCGAAATGATTTCGAGACATAAAAGTTCAGAAGTAATAATAGAACAGAGGTTTACCTCTTCCGAGAAATGGGAGTAAACCCTAACTGGAGCTCCAATTCGATACCAGAAACCCTGTGCAACCCCCGTATCTGAGATTCTACGGAAGTCAACAGCTGCCGCTGGTGTTCTTCAATATTATCATTCGCTGTTTTCTGAAATCACGGTTTAATTTGGAAACCCCTGTGCGTTCTGCTTTCTTTTTCCCTGTTTTCCAATTTCAACTGTTCTTCAATTTTATGTCGAGTTTGGGTTTCTTCCAAAGTAGCTGGTCTGCTTTTGAGTTTTGCCAGCCATTATTGGGCGGGGCACGTGCCACACGAGTTTGACTTGTCTAAATCGTTTTCCAAAAAAAAGATAGACACCCTACGTTGACGCCCCCACACGGACCGGACATGAGGTAAGTTGTACTATAATCACAATCTGACAGATAGAGAGTGAGGCTCCGTCCCCGATACTTGTAGAGACCTTATGCATTTTTCAGCATAATAATGCCTTATCGCAGTTGCCGGGATTCGAACCTGAAACCGAACCTTTATGGCACTCTCTCAGTGCCACTTGAGCTACACCCACCTGTTCTAAATTGTTTTCCAATGTTCCAAGAGGTGGGTTGAATTCTTCCATGAAGGGTCCCTCACGTCTCGACATTTGAGGTGTAACTTGTTTTCTAATTTTATACGGAGTATTTCGGGTGTCTATAAACTTCTAAAGTTCAACTCATCAGTTTTAATAAAATTTACTCCGTGCATGACAGTTCTGAATATGTCTTTTGATGTGAGTTTTAAGAAAGTAAACAATTTGTGGTTCCGGTTCATTCTCTCTTCTCTACACAAACCTCAATCACACAGTTTTTACTTTATTATTTCTCGTGTCGGTCAAACTCGACAAAGTTATTACGGACGGAGGAAGTAAGTGATTGTTTTGCAACTATAACTTTTAAAAAGAATAGAAAGTAAATGATTTTTTTTCATAACTATCATGAAAAAGTTTTTGTTTAAAATATATTTTATTAATAATATAAAGAAAAAATTATATGTAAAGTTAAATTATTCATTCTTTAGCAAAATAACTTAACCTCATTTATTTTGACTATTAAAATATCTCAGTGCAAAAATGTGAGCGGTGCATACATGGCATGGGATATCTCCAATAAAAATTAATAAGTAGAATGTCAAGTACAATGTGTAGATGTTGGCATTGTTGAAAAAAATTTAACAAAAAACACTTAAGACCATGGAAAGAAGGAGATAAAAATGTCACGAATTTAATTTTTTTGTGTGTATCTCTCTCATGTCGCGTGTGCACCGTGCACAATTGTAGTATTGGAGATGTCCTTACACAATTTGGTGTGCGAGTTCAAAAATTTAATGTTTGATAACAATATGTCTGAGAAGACTGATTAATAGAACATAGAAGCCACCAAACGGCCATTCATCTTAAGCATTCATGATTAAATTTTTTAGGGAAAAAGGGCAAATAAGCCCCCGAACCTATCGAAAAAGTGCAAATAAGTCCTTTTATAGGAAGCTTTGTCCGGTCGTCGCCATTTGAGGCGGTTTCCAGTGGAATATTTTGATGAAATTTTTTTAGCATCTTCTTCATTAAGTCTAGTTTATCCATACCAAATTTCAGCTAAAAGTTCAACTAGAAAGGCAGTCAAATAAACGTATGAAGATAACTGAGCAGTTAAACAGCGCAGTATAATTCAGAAAATCATTTGGCTGCCTTTCCGGTTAAATTTTTAGCTAAAATTTGGTATGGGTAAACTAGACTTAGTGAAGAAGATGCTAAAAAAAATTCATAAAAAAACGCTACCTGGAACCGCCCCAAATGGAGACGACCGGACAGAGCTTCCTATAAAAGGGCTTATTTGCACTTTTTCGGTTAGTTCGAGGGCTTGTTTGCACCTTTTCCCAATTTTTTAATTCTGTTTGGAATCGTGTAGTCCTTGTTCTGTTGGTTTTCTTTTAATCATGAAGAAAATAGCGGAAGAATACGGTAAGATGTCAATTGAGGAGGAAGAAAATAATGGCTTGGTGTTTGAGTCAGGAGCTCTCAATGTCAATAATAGGGAGGAGGAGAATCCACGTTTCTCTGCTATTGTTAGAGTCATTACGGATAAACCTGTCTGTTCTGTCTCTTTCAAGAAAACAATGGCCATCATATGACGCCCGAGCAAAGGGGTGAGTAATGAGCAGATAGGAGATATGCGTTTTATGCTTCAATTTTTTCATGAGAGTGATATCTCATGAGTTCTGCAGGATGGCACCTGGTCTTTTGATCAGAATCTAGTTGTTATAAGCAGGGTGGAAGAGAGGGACAGACCACTGGAGGTGGAGCTAAACCATGCAGAATTCTGGGTACAAATTCACAATCTACCCCTCATTTTTATGACCGAGACAGTGGCGATTGGAATTGGCCGATACTTGGAGAGGCTGGTCAAGATTGATGAAAGAACTCTCTGAAAGGAAAAAGTAAGGACTTTGTTCGAATCCGTGTGTCAATTGATATCAGAAATGCTCTGAAGAGAAGAACTCAGTTAAGGGAGGAAGGAGATAGCTGGTTTTGGGCATATTTTAGATACGAGAGGCTTCCAAATCTATGTTTCATATGTGAGGTTCTGGGAGACACTGATATATTGTCCTTCGAACAATAACGCAGGACCTTGGGTGGGGGACAAACCGTATGGACCCTGGATGAGGGCGGATATGCATCGAGGGGGAACCCACCCAGGAAATAAATGACTTATACCGAATTTAGGGCATGAGGGGAAGAGAACAATGGCAACAGAGGTAAGACAAAGTCAGCTGGTGGGATGCCAGGAGAAGGGCATGTACTGACGTTGGATGCTATTTGGTACGGGGCTTGATTTCACGAGGGAAAGGGAAGTGGGGATGGTGGAGGAACCGCAATAGGATAGGAGTTTAGAGGAGGGTGAATCCAGGAAGAAAAGAGTAGTGGACTTGGAGAATTTGGTAGAAGTTCAAGTCAATATGGAGGTCGATGGACCTGGGTCAAAAAGTGAGGCGGTGGCAGTGCTATAGAATCAGCACCGCCTGGAATAACATTATTTGATGCAAGTGGGAGTCTTCTTTTGGAGGTGGCTGGAAAAACATCTTCTCCATTCCCGATGGATGGTCCAGTCAGAATGATGTCTTTGGAGGTGACAGATAAAACATATTCTCCCTTGTTGGTGGATGGTGAAACCAGAGAGTCTATCGATTATGTTCCTTTTCAGTTTTCGAATGCTTGTTTTTTTATATTTACTAGTATTTTTACCCGTGTCGTGCACGGGATAAAATGTAGAAGTGTATGTGTTGCTCCATGATACCCATTGATACCCAATGAGAGTGAATGACTAAATAAAGACGTTGCATCACAGCTCGATCTTAATTTGGTAGTTCACCATCTCATCAAAGGATCGGACTAAGCACTGACATCATCTTTTCTATCTTCATAGATTCATAGGCTCACAATGAACTTTTCATTATCGTAAAAGGTTTCATTAATGAGGATATTTTGTACATCTTTAATTAATGTTGTCATTTTTGTATTTTATTTTCTCAAATTATTTTCATTTTTGTTATTTATAATACTTGGTAAATGACAATCGGAAGTCCGTGACTTTCCCCGTTTATTTTGGTGATTTACCTTCTGGATAAAAGTTTTGAGGTCTTTAGATTTTAATAGTGGCAACGACAACGATAGTAGATTGCATGACATCAATTGGTGAGTCTCTAGGCAATAACAACGAAGATAATCTTATTTTGATTAGAGTTATTGAGGCTATTATGATATTTTTTTACAAAGGCTATTATGATCTTAAAAGACAAAATAAGTGCTACTCCGTATTAAATAAAAGAAGATTGCAAACTTTAATTGGGCAATGTTTATTTTTATCACATATCTATTGGTCAAATGTTCATTAAAAATGCCAAATAACACATTCAAAAAACAAATAAATAACATATAACATATCTCGTATTGCCCGTAGTAGATTAGTAGCAACACGCCAACGACCATAAATGTATACTATTATTATGTGTGATCCGAAGAGAACAATCACCATGCAATAGCCAATAATTTTACTGATTAATATTAATATATATTATTACTAGGTAATGCTAATACTTTTGTAAAAACTTAAAAAATGTTGTACGAATGAGTAGTTCATACGGAGCTTTGTTCTAAAAATCGTTCTAGGCGTCCGACTAGTCCCCGCCTAGGCGCTAGGCGGTGGCCGGGCGCCCTGATTTTCATCTAGGCGCTTCGACTAATTGGTTTGTCATCTAGGTGAATTAGTCGGTCGCCTAGAGCGCCTAATCGGCCGCCTAGGCCGTCTAGATTCGCCGAACATTACTTTTGTTTTTAATTTTGATTTTCTAAGCGATATACGTACTTTAACTTTAGCAATGGATGCAAAGAAATGAAGTTCTAAATTAAGATAAAAGTACATATGTTTGCACATATACCTAAATTTTACAATTATTTATATTTATAACATAATGAAGTTCTAAATTAAGTGATTATTACATTTATGATTAAATGTGATAACTCTATCATTTATAATTGTTAATGTATAGGTACATATGTATTTTGTAAACACAAAAGACAATATTACTTATCATATTTATGCAAAAATATAGACAAAAATGCAATTTATATGTCTCCGACTAGGCGCCCGCCTAACCGCTAGGTGCTGGGCTGGCGCCCGACTAGCGCCTTTTAGAACATTAATATGGAGTATATATTAGTAATATTAGTAAGGGCTAACCTTTCAAATACAGACGGTAGAGTAAATTTTGATACAATCCCGAATTACATTTCTGTCATTTGGCAAATAACCTTTTGATTTAATGAGTTTGGCAATTTATATTAAAAAATCATATGTGTAACCTTCTTTAAAATATAGCCGAGAGACTTGAGCCTGATCCGAGATAGCACAGGCAGGTTGGTGGTCAATTGTGTGAGGATGCATCTGGGTTTTCACTACTTTATTTTTATTGTCATTTTTTATTTTGAAAAGACTATCATTGTTGCTTTTTGTTTCTTTTATTTCAATCGGACTCTTGCATTATGTTCATATGTTGGGGTGATAAGGGGTCTATTCTTACCACGTTATGCTCATTTAGATCCACTATATGATCAACGAGTCATATTGCTTTTTCCGGGTGATTGACTCTAAAGATGTTTTTACTTGGACTGTAATTTGCTGGTCTGGTCTGATCTGGTCTGGTCTGAACTGGTCTGGTAAGGTCTGGTTTCTTTGTATTTTTATAACTATCCAAGTCTGGTCTGGTCTGGTCTGAA